ATACGAGCGTTTGCGCGCGTTCGCGACGCATTTCTGGCTGTAAATCAACGGGTTATGCATAGAGAAGGCACCAGAGCGCGGCCGCGCCACTTCCGCCCAATAACGTTTAACATCCAGCGTTCTTCTTCACCCACTACTGAACTCCGACACTCCGAGTGACTTAAGTCGCGCTCGAGGCTGCGTGTAATCGCTCGGTCATGACGAATGGCTTCCAACCGAGAAGCGCTACAGAGCACCGGTGATGGGGGCATGTTGTTCTTTGTTATTTATCGAGACGTGTTTAATTATCATGCAAAGGTAGCTTCAAGCTCCATAAACTCGTTAAGCCCGCGTTACTAAAGCGTTCGAACGTGACATCGCCCGATGAGTGTCTGTGGAAAAGAGCTATGCCCCGTGAGAATTTCTTCAAAAATGTACTTAAAAGTGGGGTGCCAGGTAGAAAAATCGTATCTTTTTAATTTTCCGCGAAAATTTTCACGATACAAATTTGATCTTCTGGAACAAGTCTAGAACAACCTGGAGCAACTTTTAGAATATTGTGAAATTTTAAAAATGTGCTAACTTCACACAGGTTTAAATTAGACTTTTCTTACAGTGTAGTGAATCAGTATTTAGAAAACCTTTCAGTCACACGTACGATTAATACCGCAGTTGTTCTTACATAATTTAGAATAGGAGATAATCAATTTGTCATCGAATTGTTTACTTTTATCGTCGGCAATTTCAGACAAATCGCCGATTTCAAGTTAATGAAATCGGACATTAAGGGGATGCTGGCGTGGTTTGATTTACCGACAGAGTCGCATTCAGTTTTTGGGGGTTTGTAAATCTTACCTCAAGGAACGTAACCTCAATATGTCATATTATAGATACAAATATAGATACCAAAATAATTATGTAGCATTTATGTACAAACTAATACCAGACCCAAGTGTAGAATGCATAGTAGAACATTTTCATATAAAAAACATTGAGGTTTGATGTCTAATTCGTATCGCATTATGTATTGCAATATTTGTAATACATAATGCGATACGAATTAGGCTTCAAACCTCAATGTTTTTTATATGAAAATGTTCTACTATGCATTCTACAGTTGGGTCTGGTATTAGTTTGTACATAAATGCAAATAATAAGATTTACAAACGCAAAAACGGTATCCGACTCTGTCGGTAAATCAAACCACTCCAGCATCCCCTTAAGATATCAAGATTATTCGATGGAGTAATCTTGCAGTTTCAGCGCTCGGGGCGATTGAAAGAAAGAGAAAATCGGTTCGCATTTCTTTACGAAAAGAGTATCGTGTCGTACGTCCACCTGATAAAATCGTCGTCGCAATTTCGTTCAGATCACCACGGTGAACCGTGGCCGGTCCAGTATTTCCTTTTTTTTTTGTTGGAGCGGCACTCCCACATCATGGTAAAGTCACGAGCGCGCTTTCACGATGTATTTACCCGGCTATAAAGATACGTCCCTTTTTCTCTTTTTTTTTCGTCGTGCGACTCGGACGGAGACCCGAGCGCATAAAGCCGAGTCCATGAGCAGCTGATAGACAACTCGATCCGGCACGACGTGAAAGAAAACGATCCCGAGCGACGGGGTCAAAGGGGTTCAGTCGTGGCCGCGGCTCTACTCACGGAAATCCTCTTCTCAAAAAGTGTTAATAAAGTTGCGCCAAGTAATACCAGATGTTACGGCAACATCACGCGGCTATCCCGCTTGTGTAAATTTCAATAATAACAGGACGACGAGGGAGGCGTAGCGCTGAACTTAGAGCCGGTGGCGCGATATTAGAGGTATAATCTTATCGGCCTCCACGGCACTGCCTGTGTACCAAACCGTACCTTCTATACGTAAATACTCGTCGATTAGTAGCGATGGCATATCTTCGATGCGAAACGAAGCAAGATGCGGAGTCTAACGTGCGAAGAGAGCGACATGCCACGTTTGGAACGAAACGTAGGAAAAGGTCATCGCGTTGGTACCCGCGGAAACATCGAAAATTGCACGGAGAGCCCGATATGGTTACCATAGGTCTGATTAGGGTTGGCACAACCCCCAATAAACAGCAATATTCGGAACAGCTATATCTGTGGTTGTTATACCCACGTTGGTGTGATAAGTAGTGGAGACAGCTACATGCGCTTTGTGCAGCAAACTTAGTGAATGTTGCAACACAAAACAATGTAGATGCCCCCGTACTATTTGTACGGCAACGTTTTAATTTTAGTTATTCTTGCCTTAGCCGGTCTTTCCGTGTGATCGGCATGTGCCGTCACGCGCAACGCGGCACGCGTATCCCGAACGCACGTAATTGAAAATAAATATCTGCACGAGAGATAAAGTATATAAATGCGTACGGTTAGGGTTTCCGTTTTAATTAAGGGACGCAAGGGAATTCAATCCGCATCGTGCGCCAGCACGTCTTGCAAATTCAACCAGTATGTTTAGTCCCCTAGAAAAATCATTCTTATGCAGCTGATTATACTTTCATGTAATCCCGCGCGCGATCAGGCGCTCACGCGCGTGCATTCATGGTCGCCCGACGACTAATCCGCCCCGCGTGTTGACCAACACGCACCTTGACACGGATCGCGCGCGCAACGATGGGGTTGCGTCGGGATTAGGGGCGGACTTCGTTAGCGGGCGATTGTAACCGAACACGGAGAATTATGGGACGACACAAAATCTGGGAGGAGGAGGAGGGGTGGGGGGGAGGGAAATGGAAGATGAAAAAAATTTTTCACCTCGGGTATCAGAAGTCTGGCGCCTAACGAGCACTGATACCCGCGAACATTGTAGCCACGGCGACCAATTCTAACCGCGGCGGCCGATCGGATTATATCGGTCTGGCGTATCCTACGACGTTTGAGGTCTTCGTTTTCTCCCTCGGCCGTTTATCGCCGGGTTGTTTCCCCGCCGAAGCGGTACCTCAACTTTCGCCGCTCTGCCTCGCGCGAGTCCTCGTCGTTGCGCCCGTCGACGTAATCCCGTCCCACGCCAATCCGGGCGTCCGTGCATTTGTAATTCATGGCGGTTCATTGGAAGGAGAGAGAGAGAGAGAGAGAGAGAGAAAAAACTATTGTCAGGCGTTATGTTAATACGAGCGGGGTATTATTCACGGCCGTATGTCACTGACCACCTACCCGCGCGCCCGGCGTAACTAAATAATACGTTAGCGCGCTGCTTGTCTCCTCCAGCGCGCGTTTTCCTCTGCCTTTCCTTCTCCCGCGAAGACCAGGCCTCTACCTCTCTTTCTCCCTCGCTGTCCATTTCGCCGGCCGACGCGTCGAGGGGATCGCCGTGAGATTTCGTACACATTCGCGTATGTTTCCGCGCGCAGACATTATCGCGAACGTACTCGCGGTATTACAAGCCGGGACGATATTAAATTATAATTCGCGACACGCTCTGCCGCGTTACCTCATACTTTCCTTCACTATTTATAGGCCGACGCTCGCTCCGCTCGTTCGTTCGTACTTGTTGCCGGCGAGCACTGTGCACCGCGGCGCCGAGAGAGCCACGCTAACGCGCTCGCGAGTGCGCGATTACGGCCGTGAGAAATCGTTGTTGCCCGGTGTGGCAGATGTAACGTGTGTGTGGATACGCCGCACCCGAGAAAATTGAAACGTTTCTATGTAGATTATGCGCGAGGCCGCGTCTACGTATCCCCGGCGCGTTGAGTAATACCTGTCGAACGGTCCTCGCGGCGTCACGTCGCATCGCCGTTAGCATTTTGCACTCGAGGCAACACTCGAGATATCACTTGCGAGAAAATGGACATCAAATTAAGGCCGTTGTCTCGCGAAACGGAGTTTCATACTTGTTTCGATCATCGAAATCTGTGACGAGAAGAAGGTTCAACTCGTAAAGCTCTTTCTTATTAGGGGGTCATTATCGTGCATTGTGCTACATTTGTCTTCTGGATTTTACACGTCAATATCTGTTATAAACCGTTGATCAAACTCGCGCGTAGCTCATGTCGTTCTCTGTTTCTCAGAATAAACCTTAGACTCATTGCAAACCGCCACCCACAACCATCTATTACTTTCTTTCTGCGGGCTTAGGTTAAACCATCACTGTGCCTGCTACAGCTTGACTACACACGTGTATGCGGTTAAGCGCGAATAAATAAATGGACAAACGCGCGCGTGTTTCGTTCGCCTCCTCGATTCGCGAGAAAATCTCAATGTCGTATAAATATTCAAGTCGTAAGAAGATATGATCGCTCAATTTAGTTATCTTCCGATCGGCAGAAATGGAAATTATGAGTAAATCGGCACGCACTGAAATGAATGTCGTAAATAATATTTTTTAATTGAAAGAGAAAAGGCGTTTAGATCGCTGCAGTTGTTTGCGAAGAAATCTCTTTCCAGTCAATCCATTAGTTGTAAAGTACTGCGTGACATGCTCTTACGCAACACACCGCGATCGTTTTAATCCCAGATCGAGTTTCCGATACAATTCCGCGAGCACAATCGATCACCGTGATCGATACGTCGAGTCAAAGGCCGGAAAATGCGACGGGTAGTTAATTCCGTACAGCGTCTTCGTGTGCAATTTGCCATTCATTAACTACATTTTTCGTCCCGTATATTCTACCCTTTTAGTCGTGTATTTCACAATGGACAAGAATAGTACCGATTTTATTTCAATGTTATACATATATTCACACTGAGACAAACTTCCGTCGGATAAACCAATTAAACAGTGTTTCCGATGGTTAATTTTTCTCTGTGTACTAACGAACTGCAATGACTTTCAGAAATTTCTAATTGCTAGAAATAAAAATTACTGCCCTCCGATTTTCATTACAAAGAATTTAAAAGAGATTTATTATCTCCGGAATTATATTTTCAAATCAACTGCATTGACTTTTGTTCTTCCTTGTCTAAGAAAGAATTGCTCCTCCGGTCGGTTCTTCCATTCCTTTGCTAAACTCGTTTACGTAAGTGAACGCAAGTGAACAACGCAAAGGGTACAAGCGAAATTGTACTCACCAGGATAGCCTTCCGGGATGACTATTTCCGGTCCCACTTTGACATCGTGATGGTAACGATGCATCAGCAGCGTAGCCGTGACTCTAAGCGATCTCTGCTGTTGCTTGTACAGCAGAATCGGCCTTCCACCGGCACCTTCGACCCTGACCACCCTTGGCAGTGAGAATCTGTCCAGGAACTCGCGTAGCGGTATGAAACCGCCGCCGGAACCCGCGGCCTCGGCGGTCGCCTCTCTCGAGCTCGGCAACGAGTCCTCGCCAGTTCCGGTGGCCTCGCCGCTCGACAACGTCGAAAATTCACCACTCGACGACATCGCGACACGGTATCTCTCACAGTACTTCGCACCAAACTCGCGCCTTCGTTCCTTTTACATTTCACCAGTCTGCGCGGTGTAACTTAGGCGTTTCACGTCGTCGAAAAGTTCTCTTGTTTCACAAATGTCTCGGGAATCAGACGAATTGCTCTCCGTCCGTACACTTAATGAAAATGAGACACCGTCCGTCGCAACATTAGGCCGTTGCATAATCCTAAAGTTTCAAAAATAATAATGATATTACTTAAGATGACTAAAATCATTTGATAAGATATCTTTTAATCTCGCTCGGAACAATTCTCACAGCTTCAATAATTATAGGGCGATTTATGACGTGACGAAAAGGAATTGGATTTAACGCGATTCCCGCAATGATTAGCTCGTTTCCTGTTTGTATCCTGACGATATGCGCCCGGCAATGTCGGAATAAAGTGCATCTCCCCGTTCCCTTCCGTCACTCGAACCACCCTCGATGGAATTCGTCATTTCGCGAGGCACGACAGTCTTGACAGTGATGCGCTGGCGGCAAACCGCGCGAACTAATGAGTGATTACACTCGGGGCGCCTTGGCGATGATGATGATGATGAATTTATGACGATGATTATCTCCCGTGGCATACCAGTATGTCGCCACCGGTGTTTGTCTTTCAGACGAGCGGCTCCGTGTGTCGCGGAGAAACGTGGGCGGAATGGCAAAGCGGTACGGCTCCCTTGCGAAATGTCGTCTTTGAAGTCGCAAAGACAGTGGACGCGGCATCGCCGGCGTTGCGGAGGACGAAACCTATCAAAGCGCGAACGGATGATTTATAAATATCGTTACGTGTCGCACAACTCTATCGCGCGGTATTAATTTTCTCAGTCTCTTTGACCGATACCTTGGCACACCGCTAAACGAAACTGTCACACTGAGAAACATGCCCGATTAAATATAATCGGATAATCCAATTGCATAACAACAAACGGATATATCCAATTAGCGCAAAGAATTATTTAACGCCAGTAATTGATTAAACAATGTAGAAAAATTGCATGACGACCAATGGCTGACAAATGCTAATTAAAGAAATTCATTGCGAAAAATATTACCTCAGCCAGGGTTTGAACCTGGACCTCCCTACACTCTAGGCGGGCGTCTCACCAATTCGACCACTGAGGCACGTGGTAATAATAGTCGCAATAAACAGTACTACTGATGACATCTTCGCGTTAATTTTTCTGCTAGAACTGCGACTTACAGTACTGTTTATTGCGACTAATATTACCAAACCCTGACTGAGATAATATTTTTCGCAATGAATTTCTTTAATTAGAATTTGCCAGCCATTGGCTGTCATGCAATTTTTCTACACATCCAATTAAATTGTATATTCGATGAAAAATGTGACCGGTTTTTCAATCAAATTTCATCGGTAGCTGCATTTCGTCGGATAAATTTCACCGGATGTATCTATAATTTAATCGGAAAAGTTAACCATCGGAAACACTATTTAATAGGTTTATCCGATGAAAATTTTTCTCAGTGCAGTTCTACTCTCGCCCCGGTCTAGTTCGCTCGCTCAGGCTGGTCACCAAAACGCTATTGCTCTCGTACCGCCCGATCGCGGTGTACTTTCTCTGAGCCGCGGAGGTTTTCGACTCTAATCCGATCCCGTGTCCCCGGGATTTTCACGTAATTAGGAACGATGATTTGTGCCTGTTATAGCAGCACCGAGAGCGACGCGGAATATAATTTATTCATGCTCGCTGTCGTACGCAGTCCATAATGCACTTTCTTGAGTGACTTGCACCTGCGACATTCCACGGCTCCGCGGCGATATTGTGTACATCGCATACGAATGACGAGAATTAATATTCTACATATGTAAGGTACGAGGCGCGGGTGGGGGACTCTTCGGGGCATTATCCGCGATTCCGGTCATGAATACGCATGAGAATGGGGAATTCTTCTTCTTGTTTTTTTTTTGTGAGTCCTCGCGCGCCGCTTCTTCCTCGTTATTCGCGATAAAATGTTCCCCCTCCCGCGATACGTTCTATAATCGCCATGTAATGGGGTTTTAATTACCTGTGACTAAAGCAACCGTGACGAGGGTATCGCGAATGATCGCGGCGACCGGCTGCGACGCGCATCTTCGTGAAGCTCCGTTTTTCCGCGTTTCTCGCGTCGTTTGTTTGTCTTACGGATCCCCCGCGCGCGTTAGTATGCGCCTTGTACGCGGGAGAGTGCTTGCCATTCCGCTCGTGTGCACGATCTTTTTCAGAAATCGCGTTTCCATCTCCCGCCACGCACGTACGTTTGTAACGGACAGTTACGCTCCGACCGAAATTTCCAAAGGGGCTACACGAGCGACTGCGATGACTCCGGAATAGCCTTTTGTCAGGACTTTTTGATTTCACTCTCCGTTGACTGTGTCTCCCTCAAGTACCCCGCTATTGTCTGCTCCGTCCTGCTATTTAAAGTTGACGCTCGTCACGTGTGACAGACGTCGTGTGTTAAAGGGTCCGTTTTGTCGAACATGATGTAAGTGGACGTGAATCCGGCGAATTGCGAGAATTCGCGATATCGAGTAATTAAGCCGTATTCACGCGGAGTTGGGGCTAAAAAAAGCCTCGCCGCGCGCTTGTGTGCATAATAGATCGTGCGAAGTGAAAGTGCAGATTTAGCAATTCGCCCATTAGCGGCTATTCTAAGCTGCAAATGTTTTACGTTTTCCACGCGGCGTTGTGCGCATCGCGAGCATCCCTGACGTAATTTTCCTACAGAAGACCTATCGTGCCGCTAAGCACGTAACCCCGCCAGCGATTTTAATCGAGCTTATGAAAGTTTCTGCGTTGCGCGCAACTTTCTAATGATATGATGATTAATTAAATACCAGGAACAAAAGCAGGAATTTTTATTTGTGCGCAAGTTAATAAGAACTTTCCGTGAGTGGGTCTAATGTGCTTCGGCACGGTGAAAGTAAATCGAATCCACACATAATGTTGTACATTATCGATCGTCGTTAACATTTTGCACATTTTAGCGCAGATACTCGGCTGTTCCAGCCTCTTGGCAAGCTAATCAAATCACATATGTCTGTGGTTTTACTTCGAATTGGACAAAGACAGATAGGTAATTTAACTACTAGTCAGCTTACTAAGAGGTTGGAAAAACCGGTCCCAAAGTAAAACAAGTATAGCTGGATTCAAAAATTATTATCTCCCAGTGAGAAAATGACTCGTCGATCGATGTTGAATCGACATCGATACCGTCAATTCGACGTCCCTTCGACGAATTATTTCTCACTGGACTACTTCTCTAAATGTCAATCAGTGGATTATCACTGAAAACAGTAAACATTCACTGATGCACTGAGCGACTCTTAGGGCCAGTTTCACAAACATCGGTTAACTGCTAACCGAAGGTTAATTGTGCGTGCGATTCTCTGTCTCTTTTTAAATAGTAAGATGGAAAAAGATAGGGAATCGACTGAACCCTAGCTAAGCGATGTGAAACTGGCCCTTAGAGAGCAGGTCCCAAATTTCGTACATATAAAATGCACACAAAAATATGAAACTTAACAACTGAATGCTACGTGCTCTTGAAAATTGCTCCAAAATTATGCGATCTATATTTTTATATATTATACCTTCTTAATGTATCTCTATTCTTTGTTTGCTACTCCATGTCCGAGGGTACGAAAGAACAACGATCACGGGCGAAATCCAGTTTGAGTGTCACAATGTTCCATTCTAACCTCTATACGTTCCGTATTCTCGTGATTTTTTTTTGACGGCACGGTCGCGCTACTCGGGGTCAAGTTCGACCCCCCCATTCACTGTAATTATCCTTCGCACTCACCTCGTCGATCATCGAAACTTAACGGAGCTCCGTCGTATCCATCAAAAGCGCCAGCTCGTACGAGGCATTTTTACACGCGTGTGCAAACAGAATTGATATGCGTGTGTCGAGATCGATACAGAAGATGCGTATTTTCAGCAGGACGTTACGGGAACGTCTCAAATCTCATCGTCGACGTCGAAACGACACCGCAGCGAACGACTCGAAGCCACCCGTTGAATTCCCTCGCGATAGAAACGCGCGAATTTCCTCGCGGCTCGGTCCGCTCGGTCGCACGAAATTTTCGATGCCTGGACCGAACGGGGATCTCTCTCTCCGGTGGTGGATCGCTCGGCTCTTCTCGTAGGGTCGGGTGTGCGCGATCGACCCATCGAACGACCGGTCGATCGGAGCGCAGCTGCGAGAGAGGAGCTCGCGACGTGGAGTGTACCTCGACACTCCGGACGAGATCGCGCGACTAAAGTTAGCAAACCACAGAGACGCGGCGGTGCGCTAACGCCGAGCCGTGTCTCTCCCCACCTCGTGGATCCCCAGTTCAAATAAACTGTATCGCGCAGGCTCGCGTGCTCGTGGAATCACTCCCCGAGTCGTCAAGTCTTTTCCTCCTTTTCCCGCTGTGAACCCCGCGACTCCTTTCCTCGATCGGCACCGGGGGACATCCGTTTCCGCACCGTTTCCGTGTTGCGCGCGTGACGAGACCCGCGGGAGCGTTCGCGGAGGACCCCGACGATTTGCACATTTGCGTTTTGAAAGATCAGAATTTTGCCGTCGCAGTCCTTTCATTTTTGTTTTAAATTAACACTGAAATGGAATAATTAATGATCTATCAGTTTTGTTTGCTTTATTGTTCGATATACTCCAGACCTGTGAGACCCTACAGGCCCGTATCAGACTACGGATTGAGATTAAAATTTGACCAGAGTAAAGTTTGCTAATCTTAAGTTTAGCGAATTTTACTCTGATTGGCGAAATTTCAATCTGATCTCGCAATCTCAACTCGTTGTCTGACACGCGCTTGAGAGTTTCGATCCTTGGACGATCTGGATCTCTTTCAATTTTCCTCACTTCAGTTTTCTCGTTAAGCTTTCGGCACGGGTAAATCCTGGTTTTGATTGGCAATCAAACCACGAACGCGATATTTGCTCACGTAATTAATGGTTGCGTATTATGCACCGCGTGTAAGCAATTACTGTGCGTTGCTACCCCGTAATTTGAAATTTCACGTTGAATTCGAGATATCCGTGACTGGTGAACCTTCGTGAACCCACAAACTGGGAATGCCAAGATCATAGTCGCGTGACTTTTCACTTGTTGAATTTCCCATCGGCGCGACGCCGCGTTACTCGAGCCGCGAGGCACAGCAATGCCGCGGCATCGTCGGACGTCCAAGACAGTCGGCAATTACAAGGACGCGCGTAACAGTTAATGCCGAGTTATTATAAGTATCGAGGTAATATTCGCCGACTTAAATGACTTACGCTGTGTTCGCCATATGCTCGCCGCGCAGCTGGCGTGCCACTTTTCGCGAATCCGCGAGATGGACCGCTACGCGGCGGATTGCGCAACAATGATCGCCGTCGCGAATCAAAAATATCAAAATGTTTTTTGCTACCGCAACTTTTTGCAACCGTGTCCGAATAAGTGGGTCACGCCTGACCACTTTATTCGGTTGAGCCTCTTGTCCGCCGTCGCCGAGGCTCGCGCGGACATCGTTTTCCTTCGCGCCAATTACTATTTTGTCGCGGACTCACTCGCTACGTGGACGAGCTCCAATCGTTAGAGAACTCCGGGGAAGGTGTAGTCTTCGATAAGCAAGAAATCTCAATGCTTATACGTGACTGCTTTACTTCTGCTTGAAAAAAATATATATCTCGATTACGGGAGAAATACTTGTTAACAGTTTTGTGGACGAGATGCAATTGGAACTTATTTTATTTTATTACTCATCCACTTTTTCACCTTATGTTTCGGTAACTGACATTCACGCTACTATTTATGTCCAATTAATACTCGAGAGCAAAAGGATCCTTCGATAACTTGACCCCACCTAGTGTTTCACTCATTTGAATCTACATTGCACAGCAATGATGGTTAACAATTTTACAATGACACGTAACACATTCCACTACATTTTTATATTGTATGACTGAAGGAAATCTTATAAGTCGCCAGAAGCAATTAAAAACTTCAGAGGATTGCTTGACCATGTCTGGCAAATTTTGATGGTTGGGCTCACAACGTTTCGACCATGGTTTGTGGTCCTTTTCAAGTGATCTAACAAAGAAATTACAAGTACCTTTAATAAAGAGTTGATATATAAGTGAGTTAACAAATAAATAAGTTACATAAATTAAAGTCAGAAGTGTAAAGATTGAGAATTAAAGTACTCATCAATCTTACTTTACTTCTCAATCTTTATACTTCTGACTTTAATTCATGTAACTTATTTATTTGTTAATTCACTTATGTATCAACTCTTTATTAAAACTACTTGTAATTTCTTTGTTAGATCGCTTGAAAAGGACCACAAACCATGGTCGAAACGTTGTGAGTTTAAACCTTAAAAGTTTGCCAGACATGATCAAGTAATCTTCTGAACTTTTTATATTTTTTATTCTGATTGTTCCATTATTCGAGGTTTCGGGCATTAATTAATTTTCTTCGTTTTTATACATTGTACACTGAGGCTGACCAGATTAAAAGTGAAACGTATGTCGTTTTCTTTTAATTTGATGAGCTACCTATATTAGCGTTTGTTCGTCAGCCCATTAGACGTATATTTTATTTAGTTTTACGAACATTGCCTTTAATTTTACAATTGGTTTGTTAAAACGAAAGCTCAAGTCTAAAATTTGGACAATTACTTAATAAACTCCGAAAATTTGTGTATTCTATACAGATACATTTTACTGTCGCAAAGTTATCTTAAAAGCTTAAAATTAAACGCAAAGACTCATGCGCGCGATTTTCTAGGCGAACTTTTTGCGCTTCGTTAGCAAGTACTTTCACATGCCTAGGTGCACGCCCAGCTATCCGATAATTAGCCCGGAACGCGGGAATATTAATGTCTATGTTTAGGGGAGAAACGTTGCGCGAGTGTCATTGTCTTGGTAATTGTCGTTCCGCCGCGAAATGATTATTGACTCGAGAAACGCTGATTACAGCGACGAGGCACCAAGCGCCTCATTGTTTTCTCCACGGAGCGTCATTAATATCTTTTCGCTCGATGCCGGATCGGGTCAAAGATCGGGAGGGGTATATTCGCTATAGAGCCGTCATAGGCGTTTTGAATTTCATCGAGTGATGTCGCGATTGCGTTCTATCTTCGGCCCGACGACGCCGCGTTGCCTTTACGTCCGGTGCGTGACTGTCATTTTCTCCCGGACGCGTTTGCACGCGTGGAAAAAAAACGAGCGAGCGCAACGAATGAATAATCGGACGTCGATGTGATCGCAGTTTCCGGTTAGCGATCGCGAATTTAAGAACGTGAATATACAGGTGCGCCGCCGTCACCCTTTCCTCGCGTAACGGCGCAACGAGAGATCACCGATTTACGAGAGAGTTAACACGACCGCGTCGCGCGGTAATGATTTTTTTTATTAACTTGGCACGGTCGGTTAATTATTTCTATATCGGCTCGTCCGTCGCGCTTCGTTAGGTAACGACGATTTAATTCGCCGCGCATAGGGTCAATATTCCTTAGCGAGCGTCACGGGGCCCCATCGCTACCACGGACGGTACACGGAAGCATATCGTACATCGCTGCAAGACGGATGACCTTCCGAAGGTCAGCGCCTTTGCTCCCCGCCGTCGATGGATATCGCCATATATATATATGTATGGGTGTACGGCGTATACCCGTCCTACGCCTTCTTACAAGGCGCACGACGGAGAGAGAGAGGCTAATTGGAATCCCCACCGACTAAATATAAAATGGCAGATCGGCGTAATGACATGGAAAAGCGGCGGTTAAACGACTTCGGCCTTTCTTCCGCGTGCGTGCCTCGTCATTACGCGATCGGAGTATGCCAATCGTTAGTCGTCGTCCCGCAGAGTGAGTCTCACGCGAGCGATCGACGGCCGGACGAAACTCGAACCGGCCGGGTCGGCCGGCCGGTCGTCGTCGTCGTCGTCGCCGTCGTTATAACTGTTTGCGTTGGCGAATTAATTCGCGAATTAACGGCGCATTGTCTCGCCGCCGGCGCAGCCGACGCCGGGATCTCACGGTCAGAAACTTTACGTAAACGCTCGTGACTGGTACCCCGAGACACCTTCGAGATGACTACCGAAGGATATCTGGTTCTCCCCGCGGCCAGTCCCCGCCTAATTAAAGTCAGGTAGCGGTAATCGTCGCGCTAGATTGCCTTCACGTGCACATCGTCATTTGTTATTTCCAGTTGATTATCACGCTCCTATACAAAACCGTGGATCGCGCTTACTTGTGCCCAAGAGAAATTGCGCAACGGGACACGTTATCGCTTATTACCGGGGAATATCGAGAAATCAATATCGATAACTGTATAACAATTCACACTGTTGCGCCTAGTAATAGGAGAGATTGCCGCATAATTCTGCATAAATCGCATTGAACACAGACTGTTCTACATATAGTTGTATGCCGTGTCTTCTATCAAGATCGACTTTTTTTTTAGTGATAATTATTTAGTAGAGGAAAGTCCTCCATTATGAGATAGGCTTCCAATACAAGATAGCGGGTTTTCAATATCAAAATTTAATCACAAATCTTTATTTACAACGATTACACGATCTAACAATGAATTTTCCACTAAACAGATTTCATTCCAAGGGCAATAAATTAACGATGGAACTAATGAACGATGCCTATTAATTTAAACGGAGAAAAAAGTCTTTGATGTTTATTTGATGTTTATTATTTCACTGAAATAAACATTATACGCCAGAAATAAATTTTCAAAGATTTCTCTCGGCGTAGCAAAAACCCCGCTATCTCATGTTAGGAGCTTATCTCATAATAGGGGACTTTCCTCTAATAATTGCAACATTTCTTCTATAACCAGTTTCGAGATATTGTAATTAACGACAGTAATGAAATTTTGTAACATAATTGTGACTCGTACAATGCATTAAGGCGTTCAACATGTGTATCGCACTTGCGATAATTAAGTACAGCGCGGTCGATGTTCCAGCTGTTTCTTTCTCTCTCTTTCTTTTTCTCTCGCTTGAATGCAGAAGAATCGGCATGCCTCGAGACTCGTTGATCATTCTATAAATAACCATGAAGATTCTAAAAGGACGACTCTTAATGAAAATGTCAGGGACCGGGCAAAAAGGTACCGGCAAGCGGAATTATTCGATACTCGGCCTCCACCGGCGCGATACGCGCCATTTCTTGTCGCCAATTTTTCTCCGTCTTCGTTGATTTGCGCCCCGGCAACGTGCACTTCTCGTCACGGGCACTTCTCTTCGATTGC